GCTCGTGCCGGAGCCTGCACGTGCCTTTCTCGCCAGCTACAGTCTTGGCCGGCTCATGGCAGGGCGGGGGTAGCTGCCTTGGGGCCACGCCGGGGATGGGTTCTCAGGGCCGTTCCGGCCGGCTCGGCCATCATTCCTCCAGGGACTCTGCCCCCCTTTTACTGGTGCCAGCCGCGCGTCTCGACCGCTCCGGCTAGTGCGGACGGGGAACAAGACCGTGGCCCAGGGTTAGCAGCGCCCATGGCATTATTCTTGCCTGTTCCTTGGACTCCCTCCTGGGGTCGTAGCTGGTCCCTCTACAGCCTCTTCCCCCTCTTCTGCTGCTGCACTGGCCCCAGCACTCTCTGTCCCCCCACCCCCCGTAGGGACACAACTCCACATGCAGCTCTCAGCAGGGACACTTTTTACACTGGTCTCACTGTACGTATTAGGCAGGGGAGGAGATAACTGAGCGTATGGCTGTTTGGAGACCACACAAGCCCTGCCTTAGGCTGCGTTGGGAAATCAGGATGACAGCTGCAGACTGGCTGTTCCCATTGTCTCCCCTTTAGCAATTGGCTCTTTTATAATGTGTGGTGGCCAAAGTCCTACTCAACTTGTGATATTGCCGATTCCCTGCAAGATTAGGCACTCAGCCCCACCTTCCTGCTCTCAGCCCTGGGTGCCAGACAGTAGAAAATCACAGAAAAGTAATTAGGGACTTCTTTATCGCAGATCATAAGGTCATTACTTTTCTGTAATTTTCCATGGCTGGTCTGCAACACAGCTGCAATTATTTGATCAACATCCTACAATCAAGTAGGACCTTAGTCATTTCATTTAGTTAATTTGCAAAGAGAGCAGGGCGAGTTCTTGGTCGTGAATTGTTCATTCGGCCGGAGCTGGCTTTTTCTGTTCAGAAGGGATTCATGAGAAGACTTTGCTTTTTACAGATGTATTGATTAGGATTGCAGTTCTGCCTATGAGCCCCATGGTTTTAGGCACTGTACGAACATAGAGCAGAGGCTGGCTCTAGTCATGAGAGCTGACATCTAAGCCAGGAATGGGGAAGCTTTTTTGTGTTGGGAGCCACTGACCCACAGAAAAAATCAGTCAGGAGCCACACACAGGAGAGAAGCAAAAAACAAAAACCAGCCCTCACTGACATGGCCCCGGACAGAGGAGAAGAGACACTCCCCACATACCCCTCCCACACCAAATCCTGCGGTGGGAGGCAGCCTAGTAGATTGTGTGTGCTCCAGCCCTGCGATGGGGCAGTGGCGTTGTGGGAGCCCCAATGCAGGCTCCCTAATGCTGGGAGCCTCGGGGGCCGGATCCAGGCAAGTCGGGGGCCACATCCGGCCCCTGGGCCTGAGGTTCCCCACCCCTGCAGTGGAGAGAACAGGGACATGAGTTTTCCCCTCAGCTCCCCGGGGGAGAGCCACGAGGCTACACCCTGAAAGCCACCGACATGGGGGAAACGCTGGGTTTTATATTACTGGGTGTTGCGAGGAAATGACACGGTATGGATTTCAGTACCGCTATAGGGTACCTATAGACAGGTGTGCTGGTGCACACACACACACACACACACACACACACACACACACCCCGAAAGCCACCGCTGCCCGGC